GCTACCTAATGTGAAAGTGTACCTACATATTCTCATATTTAAGCAATATAGTATGTTGTATGTTAACAGATATGGAACAACAGTAAGCTGTCATATTTGTTTAATTTCAATCATGCAAATAAATCCGACTGTGTTAAGCTTATTGGAAATACTTATACGGATAATTCATGACAAACATTGGCTCCAAAGAGTCAAGTTTAACAAAAACAGCTTGTACATATGTCCAATTGATTAACCTTGTGAAATGTAGAGAGTGACTTTGGAGTCAATTTGTCAGTGTTGTAGATCATTGCTCTGATAGCATATTATTACAACTGGCCTGTATTTATCCAATTGTTTCCCTGTGATTTTTTTCATTGCTTTTTCTAAAGATGAAAACAAGAAATCTGTGTCTTTTTAGGAATTTGAAACCTAATCTCAGGGATGGAATGATATACCAGCAAAGAGGAAAAAACAGCCCCCACGTTTCCTAAATGTGCCATGTCCCCATGCATGGATCTTGATGCTATCTTAGTTTTTTATGACTTACACTTTTGTCTAAATAAATCCATTGTGAAAATAAATACCTCCGCTCTCGATTAGCATATTTTCTTACGGACATATGTAAGTTATTTCTTCATGTGGAACGATTGCTAACAGACTGGATTCTCCCGGATAGAAATATGTGTAGATAAGAGAATTGTTTAGTCCTATGGGCTCCAAATTGTCTTTGATATACACATAACATTCCTTCCATGCAGGTTTACTTTCAATTATGAAATCCAAATCTGATGGAATAAAACCAACAAATGGGGATTCATTTGAAAGATAATTCTGTTTATGTTCATATGAAACTCGAAGATAAAACAGTTTTAAATATTTCTTTTTTTTAATCGACATGCGCTTGATAAAGATATTTTACAAGACGGTACAAATCTTTGCTTAGGTCCTTAGTACAATCACCATGCTTTACTAAGAATGTGTAAAGATGTTTGATTTTATCATGTCCATCTGCGCCTTCGTGGGTTACATAAATCATTTTTATTCTTCACTGCTGTTCCTAATATAACTTTGAAGTGTGTTCTATCCTACCAGGAATGTCAGGGACTAACACAATCAGTAGAATGTCAAGTTTGCAGAGGGCCAAAAATCAAAAGACTGCTTGAGGCTATAGCTGAATACCGTACCTGTACAGAATCATAACTACATGGATTAAGGCTTTGATGTTTTACCTGTCCTCGTTTTCACCTGTCAGGTGTTTTCGACACAGGTGAATGTCTGTTGTGTTTCACCTGTGCTCTTGGATCTCATTTGACATTGAGGACAATCTGTACACTGTATTTCTTATTTATTGGTGATGCTTTTGGAATGTAAATTATGTAAATTATACGAAGTCAGAAGTATGAACTAGTCCAGGCATATGTCTGTAGCACAGGTAGAAGATATTTCCATCATTCTTGTCACTTTCTTTCCATTCCATGCAAATGCAAGTCAGTAGATAAATGCAAGTCATTCTCAGGTATAATCAACATAGAAAGTGCATATTGTGCAAAATATTTAGCAGTGAAACAAAGATATTATTATTTGGATACCGTATATCCTTTATATCCTTTGGTTTTTAAATGCCATATAAAAATAGCAGAGAAAACCTCTCAAGCTTATGTCAATAATTAAAAACTGTTTGAGTTTGATGATCACATGAACTGAGCTGGTTCCAAGGTCTCTGAGATACAATGTCTGCATTGTGGCCGAGTCTGTATAGGTTTTACATATAAACAAACTTACACAAGTGTTACACAATGTCACAGCATGTGTTGGCCCAGGAAGAGGGTGTAATCCACAGGCAAGTACCGTACATGTCAGTGTATGTGTACATGATAGCCACATCCTTCAATGTTAACGATTACTCATTACCGTACATATCAGTGTCTGTGTACATGATATCCCAGCCTTCAACCAATGCAGCTACACATTACCGTACATGTCAGTGTATATGTACATGTCATACCGAAAGATGTTAAAGGATGGTACTTGTTGTTACCCTGCCTGGTGCTTGTCAATAAGGGGCTAAAACAAGGACTGGTCGGCTCGGAGTCAGTACACTGTGTTTGAGTGGGGTATTCATGTTAAACTGCGGCATGGTATTTCCGTGGGCTAGCACTATATAATCGGCATCAGTCCAGACTAGTACAAGCAGCCGCACACACACATCACACGCACGCACATTCGCACATATGCATGCACATGTATAAGTGCAATAATCGTGAATGCGACGTTCAGCCCCATTTCACCTCACCTCACCTCCTTCAACAGAGCAATTATTCATCACTGTACATGGCAGTGTATTTGTACATGATATCGACATCGTTCCAGCTTTTCTATTACTCACTACCATACACATCTCTCTGTATGTACATGATATCAGCATCCTTCAGCCATATATATTTAACAGTTACTACTGTACCTAACCCAGTAAATGTATGTTATTTTACACATTTTGGCCATAGCTTTTACAGACTGTTAATCTGCATGTTCCTTTCAGTGTATATGGGCATGATTGTCAGATTGAGTGGTACTGATGCTGACATATGTGGGCATCAGTATGATATGAAGGACATTTGAACACACATTTCAAGCCACACAAACATTAACAGTGTATATGTATACACAAGATGTAAGCACAGTTTTCTCAAAGCAGACATGCAAAACCAGTCATATCAGAGAACATTGTAACATTTCTGTTCTATTCTGATAGCAGTGTTATTGACATACATAGGCATGAAATAACATCTTCCATCATACTTGTCCAATGTGCCACATATGAATCTAGTTCTGAACAGAAAAGCTATAAACTTTCAATGTTTACTATATACATGTTTTCCTCTTGGTTATCAACTGTAAAGGTTTGTCAGGCATTTTTTTACAGAGGTTACAGTATTATGTCCAAATGGCTGGGGATGGGGATAGGGGGATGGGGATGGAGGGATAGGGGTTGAGGGCAGGAGGATGTTAAGCTTGGTGTGTGGAGTGTTGTCAAACTGTGGTGTCAGTTCAATCTGATAAGGGCCTGAGTTTATTATGGTAAGATGTGGGGGAGGGGGGGTAGTGGTGCTGTAGGGGTGAGGGTATAGTTCCATGACACTGTATAGAACACACCTGCTCCAGTAATGAGAGGGGGAGGGTTTGGGGGAAGCATAGGCTTTAGGCATCTGCATCCCCTTAGGTTCGGAGGTTTATTTAGCAAGGAAACTAGCCGATACTCTCTCTTGAAGAAAATTGGAATATAATTTGTTATTGTACAGATTCACCAACTTGGGGGCGAGTACAAGAGATACGAATTATTCATGGATTGAAATACTTTAGGATGGTGATATTGATAATAATGCACTATTTTTATTGATGGAACCTGGGTAGATACCAGATACAAGATAGTTATTGTGCAAACGTTTCATGCAGTGACAATATTCTGTAAACTACTGGTAAATTAACATATACGTAATAATCACGGTAAGAACCAATACAAAATTTAAGTGTTATGACCTAAGAATATCAGTAGAGTGGGCATCACATCGAAGGAATTTTTGCAATTATAAGTAAGCTTTTCTGTAAAGGGCTCTGTTAGTAGCACTGTCTTATTTACATTTTGAAATGATACTTGAAATGAGTCTGAAATATAATGGTTTTCTAACGACAGTTGCAATAGGACTATAACCGCTGGTTAGTTTTGTTAAACTGAGTCTTTCCCAAACTACATTAATACATGCCATAGTCAAATAACTAACTTCTTGTAAGGGAATTCCAATGAGACAGGGGTCAGGTGAAGGGTCAAGGCCTGTGAATACAAGGCAACTGACCAGTGGTCACTTTCTATAGACTTGGTCAGTTTAAACATCAATATCTTATCAGCTTCCGGTCATTTGAGTGAAATATACGACATGTCAATTAAAATAACAACGGTTAACATAAAGAGTGAAGGACAAAAATGGTCTCCTTGCAAGTTCCCCCGTTACACTTCACAGTTCTTGTGTACAATAACTGTTAAGGCAGACTGAACTACTGTAATTTGAAAGAAGTTGAAGGTAATGATTGGATTAACAATTGTGCTTTAACTTTGGCACATGAATGCTTTTAGATTTATGGTCAAATTTATGTGGCGTATTTCAGAGACCTGTGAAAGACGTTTGGGCATTCAATGTTGCTGTCATTAGTCAGATCAGTGAGCAAACAATGACCAATGTTTGCTGACACGCTGCCCAAGCTTTTTTTCATAGCCAGTGTTAATAAATCAATAAACAATGTCTATCGTCTACTCAGCAGTTCAGAGTCTTTGCTGGTGACTAACAGCCGATCCAACTGCTTACATGGTGTTTTTCAAGTGTCTAAATCATTACCACATGAAGAGAAAATTGTAACATGTATATTATGTTTGAGTTAATAAATTAACCTTGGTGATATTATCTTTGAATTAATTCTTTTTCTGCAGCCATTTATTAAAAAATATATGTAATGGAAATGTATTAATATTGATATAACCAGCATATCCACACCATTCACGAACACAAAACAAACATCCACACAGGATATGATGATATCTACCTGATATGACATATAAACATGACATATTTTCTTTTTTCATTGTAAATACCTTCCTCTGTCTGTTTCCCTTAAATTTATTTTCATTACCTATTGTGATTTTGTATATTATTTTTCTTTTTAAATTCTGTATGTTTGTTATTCCCTGTATATTTCATGTTGTCAGTCTTGCATGTAATTCATCCATCATATGGTAGGGGAGTAGTTAAATCCTTGCTCTTCACAATGAAATCCTGGGTGTGATTCCACATGGGTATAATGTGTGACATCTATTGCTGATGTCCATCCCATGATATTGTTAAATTTTTGCTGAAAGTGGCAAAACAAACATACTCACTCATTCATTGATCATATTCTGATGTTACTGATATCCTTTATTTCATGTGTATTTCATACATGTTCATGTATATTTCATTTCCTCCTTACAGGGACCTGAAGATGGAAAACATCATGCTAGACGAAAAGAAGAAAAACATCAAAATTTGTGGTAAGTGAACCTTAAATAGATGATACACTAAGTAACATTGCACTAGACACATCAAGGCATTGAACATAAGCAATGATGATGAGGATGAGGACGAGGATGATTGTGATGATGACATGATGATGATGAAGAGGAAGAGGATTGTCATAATGATGAAGAGGATGATGAGGAGGAGGAGGAGGAGGATGATGATGATGAGGATGATGAGGATGAGGATGAGGATGATTGTCATAAGGATGAGGATGATTGTCATGATGAAAATGAGGATGATTGTCATGATGAGGAGGAGGATGATTGTCATGATGATAATGAGGATGATTGTCATGATGATAATGAGGATGATTGTCATGATGATAATGAGGATGATTGTCATGATGATAATGAGGATGATTGTCATGATGAGGAGGAGGATGATTGTCATGATGATAATGAGGATGATTGTCATGATGATAATGAGGATGATTGTCATGATGATAATGAGGATGATTGTCATGATGAGGAGGAGGATGATTGTCATGATGAGGAGGAGGATGATTGTCATGATGATAATGAGGATGATTGTCATGATGATAATGAGGATGATTGTCATGATGATAATGAGGATGATTGTCATGATGATAATGAGGATGATTGTCATGATGATGATGAGGATGATTGTCATGATGATAATGAGGATGATTGTCATGATGATGATGAGGAGGAGGAAGATGATGATGAGGATGATTGTCATGATGATGATGAGGTTGAGGATGATTGTGATGATATGATGATGATGAAGAGGAAGAGGATTGTCATAATGATGATGATGATGATGAGGATGATGATGATGATGATGAGGAGGATGATTGTCATAAGGATGAGGATGATTGTCATGATGAGGATGAGGATGAGGATGATTGTCATGATGATAATGAGGATGATTGTCATGATGATAATGAGGATGATTGTCATGATGATAATGAGGATGATTGTCATGATGATAATGAGGATGATTGTCATGATGAGGAGGAGGATGATTGTCATGATGATAATGAGGATGATTGTCATGATGATGATGAGGAGGAGGAAGATGATGATGAGGATGATTGTCATGATGATAATGAGGATGATTGTCATGATGATAATGAGGATGATTGTCATGATGATGATGATGAGGAGGAGGAAGATGATGATGAGGATGATTGTCATGATGATAATGAGGATGATTGTCATGATGATAATGAGGATGATTGTCATGATGAGGAGGAGGATGATTGTCATGATGATAATGAGGATGATTGTCATGATGATGATGAGGAGGAGGAAGATGATGATGAGGATGATTGTCATGATGATAATGAGGATGATTGTCATGATGATAATGAGGATGATTGTCATGATGATGATGATGAGGAGGAGGAAGATGATGATGAGGATGATTGTCATGATGATAATGAGGATGATTGTCATGATGATAATGAGGATGATTGTCATGATGAGGAGGAGGATGATTGTCATGATGATAATGAGGATGATTGTCATGATGATGATGATGAGGAGGAGGATGATTGTCATGATGATGATGAGGAGGAGGAGGAGGATGATTGTCATGATGATAATGAGGATGATTGTCATGATGATAATGAGGATGATTGTCATGATGATGATGATGAGGAGGAGGATGATTGTCATGATGATAATGAGGATGATTGTCATGATGATGAGGATGATGATGAGGATGATTGTCATGATGATGATGATGAGGAGGAGGATGATTGTCATGATGATGATGATGAGGAGGAGGATGATTGTCATGATGATAATGAGGATGATTGTCATGATGATAATGAGGATGATTGTCATGATGAGGAGGAGGATGATTGTCATGATGATAATGAGGATGATTGTCATGATGATAATGAGGATGATTGTCATGATGATGATGATGAGGAGGAGGATGATTGTCATGATGATAATGAGGATGATTGTCATGATGATGATGATGAGGAGGAGGATGATTGTCATGATGATGATGATGAGGAGGAGGATGATTGTCATGATGATAATGAGGATGATTGTCATGATGATGATGAGGAGGAGGAAGATGATGATGAGGATGATTGTCATGATGATAATGAGGATGATTGTCATGATGATAATGAGGATGATTGTCATGATGATGATGATGAGGAGGAGGATGATTGTCATGATGATAATGAGGATGATTGTCATGATGATGATGATGAGGAGGAGGATGATTGTCATGATGATGATGAGGAGGAGGAGGAGGATGATTGTCATGATGATAATGAGGATGATTGTCATGATGATAATGAGGATGATTGTCATGATGATGATGATGAGGAGGAGGATGATTGTCATGATGATAATGAGGATGATTGTCATGATGATGAGGATGAGGAGGAGGATGATTGTCATGATGATAATGAGGATGATTGTCATGATGATAATGAGGATGATTGTCATGATGATGAGGATGAGGAGGAGGATGATTGTCATGATGATAATGAGGATGATTGTCATGATGATAATGAGGATGATTGTCATGATGATGATGATGAGGAGGAGGATGATTGTCATGATGATAATGAGGATGATTGTCATGATGATGATGATGAGGAGGAGGATGATTGTCATGATGATGATGAGGAGGATGAGGAGGATGATTGTCATAATGATGATGATAAGGAGGAGGAAGATGATGATGAGTATGATTGTCATGATGATGATGAGGATGATTGTCATGATGATGAGGAGGATGAGGATGATTGTCATAATGATAATGATGAGGAGGATGAGGAGGATGATTGTGATGATGACATGATGATGATGAGGAGGAGGAGGAGGATTGTCATGATGATGAGGATGATTGTCATGATGATGAGGAAGATGATGATGATAGTGATGAAGATGATGATGATGATGATTATGATGAGAATGAGGATGATTGTCATGATGATGAGGATGAAATAGATAGGATGTTTACTACTTCACCCAGTTTTGTTCTTGGCCTGAAATTGAAAATCATCACAGCACTAATGTGTAACAATCTGTCATCATAATCCTCTTACTTTTATCTCAGACCTTCCAGAAACATATACACACAGACATATACATACAAAAGTGTTCATAATACTCTTTGATCAGCATCTGAGCATAATGGTGTTTTGCAATTCTTTGCTATTTGTTTATTATTTTGCTTTCTCAATGAAAGTTGATGGAAAACCCAGTGTCCTTGATGACCCATAAGAAAAATATACCACCAAGACGTTAGGCCAGAGACAAGAACCCATAATACGGGCACCATTTTTTCTTTTGGAACGTTGACATCAAAGATATTGACTGTGTCTATGGACACCATCTGTGACTCCTATTAGGCAGGGGAAAGGCAATATTAGTTTTGCGAAAATGTTCATGGGGGTCATGGGAGCTGATACACGGATTGGCACTATCATATTTTCTTCACATCTTTTGAAATGACAGATGACAAAATAATGGCTGCCATGACCTTGACCTTTGTAATGAATTTTATGATGAAACTTTGTACGGGGTTGTGTTTTAATGAATCTGTGTTTTTCCAAATCATAGCAGTATATCTAACATTAAGAAGTTGATACTGACAGATGTCCTTTTGAGAGTTCTGAAATTATTGATCAGAAATAATTCTTCATTTCGTGACACATGGAAGTTTTTTTAACATTATTCATATTGATATGATTAAGAAGTTCAACAAAACTGTCTAATTTGTGCCATTTTGTAATACTAATTGGAGTCATCATATTCATAGAAAATTATTTTCAAATATTTCTTTCAATGAAAACAATAAATATCAAATCATTGTCAATCCTTTTAATAAATCATAATCACTTATAACAACATGACGAAACGATATTTGACAAATGTTGATAATTATGATTTCTGCTCATAGAAACAAACTCGACCATTTATAAGCCAATTTGGCAAACATTTGAAATTAGTCCAATTTTATGAGAAAAGTGACCTTAAAATGACTCCACACAAATTGATGGCAATTACTTACTGACCATTAAACCAGATTCTTGTAATTATATTTGTCAAAGTCACAAGTTCACCAAATATTGAGGCTTTTACCTAGATGTTTGGTAAGTTCATTGAACAGGGAACACTTTGAGGGATTCATATGAATAGATACAGGTTGGCATCATATATTTGCTTGCTCCTTCGCAGAGATAAATACCTAGCATGAGTTTAGTCCTGTGTTGATGGACAATTGGTCAAATATTGATTCAACCTGCTAACCTGAGCAAGACCCCCTGGACAATGGTCAGTATTTTTGAGGAGGCTAAAATGTAGGTGGACACAAACATGGTAGAAATTGAAGAAAATGCCAAATCATCTGATCCGTGTAGAGAATTGATATTTTCTTTCACATTTCTTGCAATTAGTTGGGTTGAGTCTGAATATTGTTATTGTAATAAAACGAAATAGATCAAGCCGAAGTGTGATGAAGTTTATGACAAGGGAAAAATGTGTAAATTATTTGGAATTTGAATGATATTTATGCCAGTAGATAATATTTATTTTTTTAAACACAGTTAAATGTTAAACTTGTGATTGAATAATTAAGAATCAGTATTGTTGAGTCATTTGAATATGTTTTTAAATTGTGGATAAGTTAAATGAAACAAACATTATTTTCCACTGTAATCATGCTGTGTCAGCAAGTTGTGTCACATTTAGCCTTGATGGACAAGCTGTCAAATAAGTGTTTGACCAATAGTGACCTTATGATAATTATACAGTAATTCACTGACACCGACAACCACTGAGCCCTATTTGGCATGTAAATCTGATAAATTATTTTTTTGTGCTTTATTAAAAGGAAATCTGTATTGAAAAAAATCAATCAACTACAAAAGGGAATCTTTTTCCATCATGAACATTGTTCTGCTGGTGTCCAGCAAGCCACTGACCACTGGTGACCACAGGTCAGTGGTCTTAAACCAGGGTCACACAGTCTTGAG